ATTTTGCATTGGTAAAAATGACTGCATCATCTGCATAAAGCTGGGTATGGAAATGTGGACAAATATTTGGTAAGTCATTAATATATAATGAAAACAGTATGGGTCCAAGTATGGAACCCTGTGGAACTCCAACCTGACAGTTTAGAAACGTAGATTTGATACCACTGACTGTCACACAATGAGTTCGAGTTGACAGGTATGACTTCATCCAAGTTACGGCTTGTTCTGAGAAATTAAACTTTGTTAGTCTAGGTAATAAAATTTGGTGGTCAACTGTATCAAATGCTCGCTTTAAATCAAGAAAAACAGCTCCAACAACAGGACAATAATCTAAACCATGTTTCACTTTTTCTAAAAACAGATTTATCGCACTTTCTGTTGAGTATTTGGCACGAAAACCAAACTGCATGGGATGCAGAGGCGTATGACCCTTGTCTAAATGAGTTGTCAATTGTTTAGCAACCCATTTTTCAATAATTTTTGAAATAATGGGCAAAATGCTAATTGGCCGGTAATTATTTACATTATTCTTATTCCCTGACTTAAAGATTGGAGTAATTGTGGCAACTTTCCAAGCTGTTGGTACAATAGAATGTCTAATTGATATATTTATCATACGAGTGATTGGACACACTAAAATATCTTTATGAGCCTTTATAAAATTGGCATCTATCCCATAGACGTCCTTTGCTTTAGAGTTTTTCAAACCTTTTATAATTGATGCTACTTCAGTCTCATTAATTTCTGCTATTGTGAAAATAGGTAAGGACTCATTCACCGGATAGGTGACATTTTCATGTAATGTAAAAAGTTGCGAAATTTCAGAGACTGAGTCTTTAAAAAAGTTATTAAATTCCATTGCCACAGTGGCTGGATCTTTCACCAACTGGCTTTCAATTTGTAGTACTACTTCACTGTCTTTGTTGGCCCCTCTGCCAGTTATTTTATTTATGGTTTCCCAGACCTTTTTGCCATTACCATTGGCAGACTCAATAACTGACACATAGAAATTTGCTTTAGCTTTGCGCATTACTTGAATGACTTTGTTTCTAGCTGATGTGAATAGTTGCCTGTCTGAAATGAGTCCAGTTTTGAGAGATTTTTTAAGTAATATGTCCCTGGTCTTCATTAGTTTTCTGCATTTTTCACCAAGCCATGGTAGGCTTGATTTACTGGTTTGATTTTTCTTCAACCTTTTTGTGAAGGAAGCTATGACCTCACTGATTTTGGAGTGGAAAGTGATCATGCGGTGATTGAAACATCACCGCATGCAACAATTTCATTCCAATCCGTGTCCTTCATGGCTCTTTCTAGATTTTGTAATTGATTTTTTGGGATAACATTATAAAAAGAAGAGCCATGATCAGATGTACAGGATCTTTTAAAACGCATTTTAGTTAGTTTCCTTGTAAAAAATATTGCGTTATGGTCAGAAAGACCAGTTAAAAAATTATATGTTTTTATGATTCGTTCAGCTTTATTTGTAAATAGTAGATCTATTGTGGTTTTAGATTGATTGGTTACACGAGTTGGCATTTCAACTAATTGGACCAAATTAAAAAGGTCAGTTACCCGTTTTAAGTTTTTCCTCTCTTTCTTATTATCCCAGTTAATGTTAAAATCACCAATTAATATTATCTCTTTATTTGGACTGCAGGACTTCAGAAGCAGCTTCAACTGATCATAGAATTCTACATTAGTTGAGGGTTTTCGATAGATGCAAATAACCTGGAAACTCATTTCCTTAGAGAGTTCAATATTTACCCCAACGCACTCGAGTGCAATTTCCTCAGGCCATATAATCTGTGAACATTTAAGTCTATCTCTTACATAGATCATAACCCCCCCTCCTCTACCTTGATCCCTGTCCTTTCTAAATACATTGTATCCTGCCATAGTTATGGCTGCCTCAGGTGAAGAGGTTGTTAACCAGGTTTCTGTGAACCCAATAAATTTGATTGAATCAATAAATGTTCCATTTGTTCTCGTTTTGGTATTATGCTTCGAACATTCAAGTGTCCACCCAGTAGACCTCTGGGCTTAAAAATTGGGTCCCAAATAGTCCTTGATTGATTCAGTGTCTGAAAGAATTTTTGTGTACAATGTCTCTTCAAAATTGGATTTCGTTTTTTAGAGAGATTTCCATATTGCAAATTAGCAGTTACACACTCCATCCATCCATCCATCCATCCATTTTCTACCCTTTAATCCATTTCTGGGTCAGGGGGGTGGCAGTCAGAGATGCCACCCAAGTCTCATAGCACCAGCCCCTCACTGACCCTCTGCAGGTGGTGAGTCCACAGGAGGACGGCTGCTCTCTGAGTGTGAGCATGGCCTTGATCTTTCAGTGGGGGCTTTTGGGCAAAGTGGGGTTAAGTGTCTTGCCCAAGGACACAACGACAGCAGTCATCAGTGGGAGTCGGTGGAGAAGGTGCAGAGGTGGGAATTGAACCCACGACCTTCTGGGCTTACGGCCAATGCTCTACCAACTGAGCTACTGTCGCTACTGGCGCAGTTACACACTGCGAAGGCAATTTGGCCTGGCTACCTCTCATCTGGTCTTCTGTATTGCTGATTAAGGAATTAAAGTCTGTGATTAAATTTGTCTGACCTGATGAAGCCATCTCCTCCTTGGTGGTGGTTAATCTGGCAGGCGTTGAATGTACTCCAGATACAGGTGGAGGAGGCCCAGCCAGCAATGGAGGAGGCCCAGCTAGCAGTGGAGGAGGCTCAGGTACCAGTGGAGGAGGCCCACGAAGCAATAGAGGCCCAGGTAACAGAGGAAGAGACCCAGGTAACAGTAGAAGAGGCCCAGGTAGCAGTGGAGGCCCAGGTAGCAGTGGAGGAGGCCCAAGTAACAGTGGACGTCCAGGTAGCAGTGGAGGAAGCCCAGCTAGTAATGGTGGGCATTCCATAAGCTCTGGGTGCAGCACAGTGAGTATTGGGTGTAGTCCAAGTAGCAGCTGTAATCCCTTTGTTGGTGCAAGAAATCCAGTTTGCTGATAATATAGGGGAGTTAGCCGTGTCTGTATAGCATCCATGTGGTCCAATGAATGAGGGCCAGGATTTATCTCAACATCACCCGCCAGGAGCAATATCATCATGAGATGTACAATACCCAAAAAAGGTTTAGATGATAGTCCATTTTTACCTGGAGGTGGTCTTGCATGGCCATCATCCAGTACTTTTGTGAAGAGAAAGTGGTGAGTCATCTTGGCAGGGCAGAGAACCTGATTTTTGTCCATTCTTCGGGGACATGTTAAGCACACCAACAGGTATAGAGATACAAGAACAAGTAACAGATAGGAAAATGACATTTGCCATGGTCTTTCTATGCTTTTAAAAAGCTTTTGTGGAGCACACACAGGAGCTGCCAGACTGTGTGACTGAACCACGGCGGCCATCTTGTACACTGGCCTCAGACGCACCAGAAGTTCCACTGGAGTCTGATCATAAATAAAAAACAAAAGTAAATAAATGTCCCCCACAGAGAGAACTGAGTGTGAATATAATATAAAGTCCAGTGAACTTGTGACGGAGCGGGTCCGTCTGAAGTTACGAGCGCGGACTGAGTTTTAAAGTAAAGGCTGATTTTAGTGCCGCATGCCCCGCACGCACACCTACACCCACACACACACACACGCACACCTGCACGCACACACGCACACACACACTCACGCACCCTTTTTCCCTCCGTTCCATTCATGCGTAACATCCACACGCATCATCCATACTCTTGTCCCTCTCTTCCCTCAGTTACTAGTTCGCCCAGGGGTGCACACTTGTGCGGGCTAGAAATACATGTAAGCATACATCCATTCCCGTACTGGTCTGTCGCGCTCCTCTGCTTCTGTGCACGAGGATCAAGCCAGGACCATACTTCCTGGTGGGTTAAATGCGCCCTGGAGCGCGGGGAATTGTCCTCATGTGATGCGCATAATAAACATACATGTTTTGACTGTTTGATGAACTAATGTTCTATGATAAAGTATAATTGTCTGTGTTGGACCATTAGGGAAGGGGCCTATATAGTAGTGTTCTGTTTATAAGTCCTGTTTGTAATAATGTATCTTGCTCAATGGGAGAGGCAAAGGGGACTATAAAGGAGAGTGTCTGGCACCCGTCAGTCTGCCGCGGGTCACAGAGGACTCATTAAAGGTGACCTATGTGTCCGAGTGGACCTGTTGATTTTTTCTGCTAAAGTCACTGTACATATGCTCTGCCTGCACCAATTTTTATGCACTTTGGGGAAAATAAAAACACGAATAATCACGGCAATCCGAGCTCGCCTGTATTTTTTCTGAAGAAACCCACGACAGAACTTTACAGTCATAGACACTGTGGAGGTGCAACCACTGCTAAAGATGGACTTTATCAACATTTATGGTCACGGGTCGACTGCTCCTTCTGGACCAACGGCTCTACGCTGATCGTCATGTCTGATTCTCTGATCTGTGATGGAGAATCGACAGTTTAGTAAAGTCTTCAGAGATACATGAAACTGTCTGAATTGAATGCGCCTTGGCTCTCATGTCTCACCTTTTTCTGTAATCGTCTGCAAAGCTCTTAGTGTTTCCGACTTCACAAGCACTTTGTTCGGCCAAGTGCAATGTACTTCTTCACCACATCAGCACTTTAGTCCATGTATGTACTTTGTTGCATATTGTGTAAATACTGTTTGTAAATGTGGTCTTGTACTAGTATGTTGATTTGTATCCTCGCACTGATGGGACTGTGCAATATTACGGCACATTCTAATGTCAATCTCTTTTTTTTTTAACCTTTTGTTTATCACAGGTTAATCTTAGAACTCAGAAGTGCAGTTAGCGATTTTGTTAGCTTAGCCGTGGCACCAACTCTAAAACCACTTCTCCCTCCCCTCCCTCTCCACCAAACCAAACATCCAGCATTCTCTTTTCTTTGTCACAACAGGGAGAGTCCGATTGCCCCAGTCCGATTGAGTTTATAGTTTAGTTTAAGTAACTCAATCCCAGACCGACCTGCACCCAGTGGGGGGACGTCGTCTGCGGCCAGGTCCAGCTCAGCGGAGCTCAGGTCCACCAGCTCGTCATCATCGTCTTCATCATCAGAGGGATGAAGACGCTCCAGGTCTGAGGCTGCAGCCATGAGGACGACTGAGGAGAGAGGAGAGTATGAGAAAAACACACTACGTGCTGCGAGGACCCAAGACCAGAGAGAGACCAGAGAGATAGACCAGAGAGAGAGACCAGAAAGAGAGACCAGAGAGAGAGACCAGAGAGAGAGAGACCAGAGAGAGAGAGACCAGAGAGAGAGAGACCAGAGAGTGAGACCAGAGAGAGACCAGAGAGAGAGACCAGAGAGAGAGAGACCAGAGAGAGACCAGAGAGAGAGACCAGAGAGAGACCAGAGAGAGAGAGAACAGAGAGAGACCAGAGAGAGACCAGAGAGAGACCAGAGAGAGAGACCAGAGAGAGACCAGAGAGAGACCAGAGAGAGACCAGAGAGAGACCAGAGAGAGACCAGAGAGAGAGACCAGAGAGAGAGACCAGAGAGAGACCAGAGAGAGAGAGAACAGAGAGAGACCAGAGAGAGACCAGAGAGAGAGACCAGAGAGAGAGACCAGAGAGAGACCAGAGAGAGACCAGAGAGAGACCAGAGAGAGACCAGAGGGAGAGAGACCAGAGAGAGACCAGAGAGAGACCAGAGAGAGAGAGACCAGAGAGAGAGACCAGAGAGAGACCAGAGAGAGAGACCAGAGAGAGAGACCAGAGAGAGAACAGAGAGAGAGAGAGAGACCAGAGAGAGAGACCAGAGAGAGACCAGAGAGAGACCAGAGAGAGACCAGAGAGAGACCAGAGAGAGAGACCAGAGAGAGAGACCAGAGTGAGACCAGAGAGAGAGACCAGAGAGAGACCAGAGAGAGAGACCAGAGAGAGAGACCAGAGCGAGACCAGAGAGAGAGACCAGAGCGAGACCAGAGAGAGAGACCAGAGAGAGACCAGAGCGAGACCAGAGAGAGACCAGAGACCCGGGAGATTCAAGTGCGGAGAGAACAGCGTTGTTTTAGAACCTTCATCCCCTGACCCAGATGTAAGCAACAGCCTTAATTCCACATTCTTCTCTGCACCGTTACATTTACAGCCATTTTTCATACACCGCATTATAAAGGGTTAAACAATGAGGCAAGTTATCTGACAAAAACATTTAAAGCTCAGGTACGTAAGTTTAAAACCCCAACACAGGAACTTTACCATTAGTTATCACACACATAACCTTTTGCCTCTGTCACCTCTTTAGATCAGCCTTTTCAGACAGAAAAGCAAAACGAAAGTCCTCCCACCTTCACTCCTCAAATCTCCTCTCAGCCCAAACAGTCAAATAGTGACTCACAGGGCTCCTTCTTATACAACAGAAAAACATGTTTTATGATCAAATGAAGACTTCATATGGGTCTGACTGGTTGACAACTGTTGCACAAACTACATGTGTTATTTGTGAGACTTAAGTTTAACCTCAGCTTGAACTTTAACTAAAATCCAGCGCAAATGTTGAATAACTGCAGCTGTCAGGCCCATAGCTCGTTAGACACAAGAGCGGGTTTATCTACCGCCATTTCCGTGTATTTACTAACCAACTATTTACTATTTTAATCTAATTCCACACCCTGCAGGATCAACTTAGCCCGATCACGTAATTACCCTGTTTTAGCTTTGTTAGCCCACAGATACACCAACAACACACACTTTGTACAATGCATTTCAAAACAATAACAGGTTTAAAGTGTTTTTTTTTTTTACCAGCGCTAAAAGTGGAGACGGACCAGTGGCGTCTTGTGACTTGGATTATTGGATTTTCGTCAACACGGTCCACTGCAAAGCTGACGTCATGCTCCAAACAGCTCCGATCCAACTTCTAAAAACACTAAACAGGGATGAAAACACGAGAAAGCTCTAAACGGAGTCGAATTTAACCTCAAAAATTTGAAATTGTCCCAAATGTGTCGCGTTTTGAAGCAAGAAAAGTGTAAATATGGCAATAGCGGTAACACTGCCTTCTACTTCCGGTTAGGTCCGTGAAAATCAAGTATTCTAAATCTATACGCCATTTTAAGTTCATATATTGAAGTAAAACGTAAAAGAAAAGTTTTAGTAGTCATAATTAATAATATAATGTTTTCAAAAGTGTTAAAATACGTCCGTTTAAGCGTTAGGTTATATTTGGTTTTATTGTGGTGACAAGTGAAGGATCCGGTTTGCGCCGTTATGCCACAGATGACGTGACTTTCCCGGATGTGTTCAGGGATGCAGTCGATCGCCGAGTGTCTGCGGCGGATGTAGGTCAGTGGACCAGCTCGACTTCTCTGGGATCTACTACAGCAGAATATTTATGTTTTCGGTCAAGTCTATCAGCAGCGAAAGTAGGGTATATCTAAATGACGCAATGCACATCTAATTAGTTGCCTATTTGACTGTATGCAATTACTTTAATTAATTATATAATAGCACATGTATTTCGTTTTGGCACTCAGAGTCCTCCATACATAAAAGGTCACAACCATATATTTTGGGGACAGACGACACATAACTACTCTGTGTATTACTTTTTGTGATGCAACAGTGACATTTTCCCATTTCTGTGCCTATATAAATAAAGTTTACTTACTACTTTCAGTCTGAAAAATGTCTATTGCAGTATTAATGTCTTAAAGCTTTGTCCGTACTGAAGTAAGAGGATGATTTAAATACTAAAGACTCACTCACTGTTGCTTATTATTTCAAACTGAGCCATAAGACAAAATGTGTGTGTGTTATATATGAAAATTATGTCTGAATACATATAAGTATACCTATATATGTGCTTTCAGAGTGTGTATTTGAGGTGTGTGTGTGTGTGTGTCAGTTCTCTATACATACAGTATGTATTCGAGAGATGAATCTTATAAATTATGAAAATAAACTCTGAATTTTATTACTTTTCCCGACTGTGACTATATTCTCATATTTTGACTTTAAAGTGAAATTATTATGACTTGAATCTCATAGCGTCTGCAAAAATAAAAATACCCTCTGACGTAATCGACCTCCTTAAAAATAATAATATTCATATTTACAGTCTATGTAAACAACTCAACAAAACATGAACAGTTGTTGAGTCCAACAGCGCCTCCTGGTGGACAGGTATGAACTGCAGACGTATCAGGAATAAAAACACACTTTGAAGTCGTTGAAAATACTGTCATCATTTATGCCTTTTCTCTGTACAAAAGTTTAAAGTCAGAAAACGCACAAGAAAAACATTTGTACAAAAATATTCAGACAAAAAGAGCGTTTAGTGTTTTTTATCACGTGGCAAAAACAGAATAAAAGATTGGAATAAAGCCGTGTGCAGTTTAACATGGAGCTACATACAAACATGGGGGAGTGTAGGAAAATACAGCTAATTACATTTTTTGTAGTTTTATTTGTGATTTAAAGGTTAGAAAAAAAAAAAACTGGGCAGATTTGAGCTGCTTCACACAAACATTCATTTTGAGAAATCTATATTCTGTAATTTTAAAAATACTAAATAATGCATTCCAAATAAAAAAGATGATAATGTATTTTCAATTAGAACGATGACCATTTGAGTTTCGAGCCACATAACCTTCATAGTTATGATAGATGTATAATTAAAACCGCAAGCAGGGTTGGAGGCCCGTCGCACCCTGGGTCACTGCAACTGCTGTGGAAAGGCCAAGGGTCAAAATCTAGAAATTATTCTCAAATATACTTTTCCAATTTGAGCTGAGCGTCTAATACATTTCCACAGTGACTAAAAATGAATATTATTTTAAGAGTATAATAAATCCATTCACATCAAAACCGGTTCATAAATGGATTTTTGTGTATGGACAATAAGCAGCTCAAATTTCCCCAGTTTCTTATATTTATAATTATACTGCAAAATTATTCTCTAATTATCACAAATATTGTCATTTCAAAATAAGAAATTCAACCATTTTTGGAAGTATTTCTTGACATTTTACCACAAATGTTCAAATCAGTTCAAAATATACAACAGATGCACTTCATAGACCTCTCATATTTTTACATCCAAATGCAGTCGTTTCAAATATACACAAAGTGAAGCGTGTCGACCCGCAACAAGACATTTAACTGTTAACATTTATTAAAAAAGCAGCGACTTTAAAACAGAAAATAGTGTTTATTTTGTGGAAAAGTGCGAAACAAGTCACAAACGCACCGCGGAAATGTAGAAGTTTGAGACGGACTTGTAGGAAGAAGAATGGGCCAAAACATTATATTTATGGACATTGGTCTCTGCCCCTTATAGAGCATTGATTCTCTGATCTGTGTTTGCAAATCAGCAGCTAAAGCCCTCCCAGATAACTACTCTTGTCATTTAGGGCAGTACAAAAATAAATTGAATTGAAGAAACAGATTTGGACCGCAATTGAGCTGTAAAACAGCACATTTCAGTTTGGGCGAAATTTGGGAGAATGGAACCAAAAAACAGACCAAAGTTGGACCAAAATGAGATTCAAACTGGACCAAATATAAAACGCAAACACAGCAGGAATGTTGGTTGAATACTAAAGCGGCAACAGATGGAAAATGGACCAGGACTGGACCAAAAATTAAGTTTTGCCTGGGCCACAGATGGACCAAGATTTAAACCAAAATTGAACCAAAAACCAAAACGATTTGGGTCAAAACTGGCCTTAACCTGGGTCATCCAAGGACTATGGTTCGGACCAAACTTTGATCAAAAAAGTATCTAATTTGAATTCAAAACAGACCAAACTTGGACCAAAATATCAATGTAAGACTTTATTCTGATAGTGCTGTGGTTCACAAAACTGCGCACCTCCTTTAAACAGTCACTGGTGCTGAAGTTGTGGAAGATGTGGACCAAAAATGATCCTAAAAAGTATTTTCGGAGAATGTTCAGTGAGAATGTCATAGATCAAGAAGGCTAATAATTATCTTCAGAAGAATAATGCAGGAGGAGGAAACACACGTGAATTACAGTGGAACATATTGGGCCAAACTGGACCAAAACCAGCCACAACTGAACCATAAAACGTCTGGAACTGGACCAAATATTTGAGCAAAAATGGAGTCTGAACTGGACCACGGCTGAACAACATTTGGACCAAAACCTGTGAAATGTCTCTTTTGGACCTCAGTCTCCTGATCCGGGAAAAAGTGCTTCTGATGGACTTCTTTGTGATCTGGTCTCGGCCAATCAGAGCTCAGAACCTCCCTCCTCCTCACCAGGACCCATCAGCTGTTTGTGGTGTGAAGGCCACCAGGGGGAGCTCAAACTCTGTAGCCCATGGCCCAGGCCCAAGCTCCCGTAGTCCCTGGAGCTGATCCTCCTTCACCAGGGGAAGCTAAAACTGCCCATAGCCCATGGCCAGCCCAAGCCCGGTCCCCATTCCCAGCCCCAGACTCTCCCGTAGCCCCCGGAGCTGCTCCTCCCCCAGACGGATCTTGTCCTCCAGCTGCTTCTGTTCGACCAGTAGAGCGGCCTTCATCTTCACAAAGTGACTGCGGAAAAAATATATGATTTTTTTATTTGAACAGGATTAATTCTGAGCAGAAGCAAGAAGTTCCCTCCAGCCCCAAACTCAAGAACAATCAGGCTTCTCATATCAACAAAATAAAACAGAACAAGGACACAAAAGTAAACAAAACAAACATAGAGAGAGACCAGAGAGAGACCAGAGACTCACCTGTAGTCCCGGTGCTGCTCTGGGGTCAGGCTCCGGCCCAGGACTCTGCTGACCGCCTGCTCTCTGCGGTCCACGTGTTCTTTTAAGTCCTGAGCTTCAGAGAGCTGTCGCAGGAGCTGACGCTTTTTCTCCTGCAGAGGGAGCTATACACACTCACAAAGAGAGAGAGACACACACACACCCATACACAGAGAGACACACCCACACAGAAAGAGACACACGCACACACAGAGAGACACACACACAGACACAGAGAGAGAGAGAGACACACACACACACACACACACAGACACCAGAGAAAGTTAGGTTGTTTGTGTGTTTGTGTTACTAACATTTGTAAATACATTGTAAATATGTAGGAAAATAGAGGTGATTGTGTTTTGAAAGAAAGTGTAAAAAACTACAGGAAGTCGACTGGAATCGCACTTTAAATCCATGCTTAAGACGCACCTTTTCTCTTTGGCTTTTAATACCAGGAAGAAAGACACGCTTTCAGTTTTCATGTGTGTATATTTCTATATTTTTATGTCAATGTCAACCTTATTTGTATCGCACATTTACAACACCACCAGCTGCGCAAAGTGCTTCACAGCCATGAAACATAACAAAAAATGTGTTTGTGTTTTTATCGTGCTGTTTTGATTGTCTGTACAGCACTTTGGTAAGTCGGGGCTGTCTTAAATGTAGTCTACAAATAAAATGTGCTGAAAAGTGTTTAAAGTGATTGTCTGGAGCTGTCTGAAAAGAGAGAGGTACATGATTCGAAAAAAACGACCTAAGCTCCTCCCCCCTCCTTTCTGATTGGTCTCTACGCGTTTCCGTAACACAAAAAAAGCAATCGCGGCAAACCCAGAAGAAGCTATTATCATGAATTGCACATTATAGGACACATCTGCAGAGGATCTGATTATGGATATAGGTTCAGTATATAAATGATTATGGATATAGGTTCAGTATATAAATGATTATGGATATAGGTTTAGTATATAAATGATTATGGATATAGGTTCATACATAAATGATTATGGATATAGGTTCAGTATATAAATGATTATGGATATAGGTTCAGTATATAAATGATTATGGATATAGGTTCAGTATATAAATGATTATGTATATAGGTTCAGTATATAAATGATTATGGATATAGGTTCAGTATATAAATGATTATGTATATAGGTTCAGTATATAAATGAGGCTTGATTCGGAGGCTCAGTGAAAACAAACAACTGAGCATGAGCAGCTGCGAGCATCAGCGCCGATGATTGACAGCCCTTGGCACGACTCGATTGGTTAACCTCGACAGCACCGTGGATTCTGAGCTATAGCTAAGAGAAGGGAAGGCGGGACTTACCTGTAATATTAGAATTCATAAAATAACTTATTTTATATCAACATTTAAGGCCAGGAGGTCAGTAATTCATTTAGAGTTCCAGACTATCACTTTAAGCCGTGACATTTCTTTGTTTTACCGTCAGTGTTTTTACAACCCCTGTTTTGTGTTACGTAACGTACACTTTGTCATTGTGCGCTTGCTACAACATTCAGTCTAAACAGCTGGTCTACGGTTCCTTCTGTGGTGCGGGGTCGGTCCCTGGTCTGGTCCTGACCTTCTCCTCGTGGTCCGGGTCCAGAGTCTCCAGCGTGGTCTCGACCCTGAGCAGGCGCCCGGACAGCGACAGCAGCAAACTGACCACTTTGTCCAGGTCCCCGATCAACATGCGGAACTTTCCCACCTCGTTGGGCTTGCACACGCACAGCACCAGCGCCTCCACCTGGACACAAGCGGAACCAGCCGATGACCAAAGCAGACTCCATCAAAGAGACTCAACCAAAAGCTCTTTCCCTAAATCCTGCTGGGTCCAGGTTTATGTGAATTGAGCCCTAAACACAATAAGTATGAAATGAACTGGAGAGAGAGAGAGAGACTGGAAACTGGACCGCAGACTCTCCTCATCTTCCTCTCCTCACCTCCTCTTCTCTAATCTCGCTCATCCCCTCCTTTCCTCTACCCTCGTCTCCCCTCCTCTCCTCTTTCTTCTCTCATCTCGGCATCCTCTCTCCTCATCGTCTCCTCCCCTCCTCTCACCTGATCTCTCCTCTGCCCTTCTCTCCTTCTCTCATATCTCCTCTCCTCTCCGCTCAAATCTCGTCTTCTCTCCCCTCCTACTACCTGATCTCTCCTCTACGCTCTCCTCCACTCCTCCTACTCCTCTCACATCGTCTCCTCCCCTCCTCTCACCTGATCTCTCCCCTCCTCTCACATCTCCTCTCTCTCCTCCTCCTCCTCTCACCTCGTCTCCTAGCTGTGCGTTCGCTCGGATGTCGTCCTGAAGTCCTCTCTGAGCTTCTCTCAGAACACTCAGTTTCTTCCTCAGACTTTCCATCAGCTGCTTCTGAAATCACAGTGTTCAGATAAATGAATAGAGAAAGACGCACAACAGACTCGCAATATTATTGAATTGTGGCCCAAATATTGCAATACTATTGAACCGTCCCTCCTCTCCCCCCTCCATACCTTGTACATCAGCTCCTCGGTCTCCTCCCTCTCCCTCCTCTCCGTCACCTCCTTCATCTGTGTGAGGAGCAGAGCTTTGGCTGTGGAGGTGCTGTAGTAGGAGGAGCAGCTGGAACTGGCTCCGGAGCGTCTGCACAGACACACACACACACACACACACACACACCATGATCACAGTGTAAGGAGTTTGAAAGCAGTGCGTTCAGGCAGAAGGGGTGGCTCCTGACCTGTCCAGGCTGTCACTCTCGTAGGTCCCCCTCCACTCGCCCTCGCACCTCTGGGGGAACAGCTCCTCCAGACTGCCCCTGCTCTCTGGACGCTCCTCCCCCAGAGAGGAGCCCAGGGGTTCAGGAGCCAGGTCCAGAGAGGAGCCTAGAAGGTTGGGGGCCAAGTCCAGAGAGGAGCCTAGAAGGTTGGGGGCCAAGTCCAGAGAGGAGCCTAGAAGGTTGGGGGCCAGGTCCAGAGAGGAGCCCAGGTGGTCGGGTACCAGATCCAGGCCGGGTGCCAGGTCCAGGTCTGTCTCCAGCACAGTGACCGGCAGAGCGAGGCAGGCAAGCTCAGAGCTGATCAGAGCTGGAAGAACGGGAAAGAATTTAGGGATGTGTCTGTGTCTGTCCTATGAACAAACTGCCAAAAAGTGATTTTCTGCCAAAATAGTGGCCTAAAGACTCAAGTCGACTTAAGCCTGGTTCACACGAGACGATTTTAAAATTGTCGGCCGATTTTTCTCCGTGTTAGACCCCACACGGGGAGATTAAAAATCCTGCGTCTAACCACTTTGGTCGTGCAGTGTGTGGTGCGTAGCCACACGGCAAGATCACGCAAGCCACAAACATCACACACGAACCGACACCCCCCCCGAGCATTCCCAGGTCAGACGGAAATCTCACAAAATCTCTCGAGATCAAGCGTGACTTCAGAGTAAACAGTCATGGCGGACGAAGAGGATGCTGCAGTGGCGATAGTGTGCAGTTTGTTGTTAACAGAGAAGACACGTAATCCAAAGAAAAGGCAATGGTCAAAGCCATGCTGCTGTGTTTTGGTTTTTTTCCGGTGTTTCCTCACCGCCTTGTCACCTCGTCTTCTTATTGGCTACACGCCGTAGTCATGGCAACGCGCTCGCTTGTCCTCGGAGGACACCACACACAACAAGAAATCGGGCCAAAACAATCCAACATGTTGGATATCCCCGATTTGAGATCGGGAGCAGTCCCGATGTCCTTCCGAGCGACGAGTGCAGTCTTAACACACCACACACGGCAGGATAATCTGTAAGATTTTGTTACGGAAATCGGAGCGTTTCTTAAGATTGTCGTAAGGGGTAAATCGGGTCTAAATCGGCCTAAATATCCTGCCGTGTGAACCAGGCTTAATCGATGGACCAGGGGATGTTTAAGCAGCAACTTAATATAATACATCCATAAGAAAAGATCAGACTGCTGCCAATGCCATCCATTCTAATCTGTGGAACTATGCTAATATGAGGGTCTATGCTAATATGAGGGTCTATGCTAATATGAGGGTCTATGCTAATATGAGGGTCTAAGCTAAAATGTGATTATATGCTAATAAAAGGGTCTATGCTAATATGTGATTATATGCTAATATAAGGGTCTATGCTAATATGTGATTATATGCTAATATAAGGGTCTATGCTAATATGTGGGTATATGCACAGACTTACAGTTTATTGGCTCATTGGCCGCGATTAGGTCCTCCTCCTCCGGGAAGTCGTCAATGTCGGTCTCCAAAGGCATGTCCATGCTAAGGGTGGGGCTCGCTCTGGTCTCTGCTCTGGTCTCTGCTCTGGTCTCTGCTCTGGTCTCTGCTCTGGTCTCTGCTCTGGTCTCTGCTCTGGTCTCTGCTCTGGTCTCTGCTCTGGTCTCTGCTCTGGTCTCTGCTCTGGTCTCTGCTCTGGTCTCTGCTCTGGTCTCTGCTCTGGTCTCTGCTCTGGTCTCTCGCTCAGGAAAGACCAGACCTGCATTTGTTTGATTTAAGAAGTGGATCATCTCCGAAAAACTGAAGAGAAATAAGACAAAAGTAGGTGAGAGATTTTTCTTTTCTCATATTATTTAGACAGAAGGGGTAAAGTGTGCTGAACACATCTCACCTTTCGTCCAGATCGTCTGCTACCGAAGGCGGAGGCGGTGGAAACTCTTCTTCCTCGTCTTCTTCTTCTGAACTTCCTGCGGTCTTCCACTGGGGCGGCTCCACTGGGCTGAAGGCACTGAACGAGACGCCAACAAGCTCCGGTTTCTGATTGGACGAATCCGACCGATCTCTAATATGATCAGCTCTTTGGACTTCGGGATTTCTCTCTGGATTGTTTGATGGGTACAAAGGATCGGTTTGGACGCAGAAATAAGTCCGGCTCCGATTGGCCAGTTGATCAGAAGGTTGAAAATGATCTCCGACTAGAGATGGGAAAGACGGTTGGGTTGTTGGGTCCTTGTGTTGTTTTTGACTGATCTGTAAATGTTTGGTCTGTGCTTGAGACGCAATCTGGGAGCCACATGGTGACATCTGAGGTAGATTTTGATGGTTATATTCATCATCTTGGAGAATTCTTCCTTGATCATATTCAGAGATTTTGCATTGACGCTGATCCGAGGGGACATCTTGTGCGTCAAATGGCGTTCTCTGGAAGGAGTTTTGGTCGTAGCAATGCAGAGTTTTGGCATTTCGATTTTCATGTTGCAGCTGATTTGAAGGGACGTTTTGGGTTTCAAATGGAACATTCCGGAGCTGTTTCTCGTGTTCAAAGTTTACAAGTTGGTGGTTTGTCTGATCTTGGTTGACTTCATGATGTGAGTCTTTGGTTTTTGGTTCATCAAGGAGAACAGTCGGATCTTCAAACGCCAAAATTGGTTGACCGTAGTGGGAATTTAGGTGGTCGTACGGAAGATTTTTGACATTCCGATGGTCATGCTGAGAGGTTTTCAAATGTGGCTGTTCTTGAAAGCCTTCTTGATGATCTTGGAGTAGTATTTGCCGATTATTCTGAACGCTTTGGCCCGCTCTGTTGACATTTTCGCGGTCAACATATCTTTGATGAAGCTTTTGATGGTTGGACTGCGACCATTCAAAGCTTTCTTGATTTTGGGTGGAATACTGCTGGACATACTGATTGTTTTGAACATTCAGCCCGTCTTTGATGACCATTTCTTCATCGTTTTGCGAGTTTCTGAACGTTGGCTGATCATAATGGAGACTTTGAACTTCGTTATAAAAATTCTGGGAAAGACTTTGCTGCTTAAACTGTAAATTCGCTAAGTTTTCTTTGTCTTTTGATATATTTCGTTCGTTAAGTTGTGCTTTTACAGATTTCCTTTCACTTTGGTCAACAATTCGCTGGCCGTACTGTGAATACTGGGATTTTGACTGATCTTGTGACACACATTGGGCATCGTAGAGTGATTTCTCAGCCAGACTTTGATGCTGTTGATGCAAACTCCCAAAGTTTTCTTGCTCTTGTTCTTGCTCTTGATGGTTGCGTTTGGAGTTTTGAGACTGTAGCAGATCTCCGAGGACTTTTCCGTAGCCGTATTGTGAATTCGGAAGTAGATTTTGATCGTTACGTAGAACCTTTTGAAGTATTGGTTGATCGAAGGGCATATTTCCATGTTCCTGTTGCCAGTTGTCGACCTTTGGCTGATCGTGCTGTGTGACCTGGGACAACCTTTCGAGATTGCTTTCAACAATTTGTTGGTGTCTTTGATTTTGGGAAACATTCTGTGATTGTGTCTGGTCTTGAAGTTCATTTAAAGCGTCATATGGTGAATTCATGGGAAGATTTTGCCGTTTGGACTGAACATTTTGGCGATTTGGTTGTTCTGACGCAACATTGGGATACTTGTAGAGTGAGTTTTTGGCTTGGTGGTTGTATTCTGACTTCTGAGGCCGGTTTGCAAGGCTGTACTGCACATTTCGGACGTCTGCTTGATCTTTGGGTTGGTTTCTCTGGTCGTGTTGCGAGTTGTCGGACTGAGGCGGATCTTGGGGCACGCTGCAGTGGTTATGTTGTGCATTCGGGGGCAGAGTTTGGTGACAGGGGCAGTTGGAATACTTGTTTTCGTGGCTGACGTCTTGTCTCTGAGGTGGGAGGCTGTAGGAGCGCTGTCTGGACGGTTCAAATGCAGTCTGGCTGCTTGAGACCCCTGAGAAAACAATGTAAAGATGTGAGATGATTAAAATAAGGTATACAACTATCAAACTAATTATTTTCCATATTATTTAGTGAAGTTAGCGTTAGTCTTTTTTTTGTTGCTGTATTTCAGTTGCGGTTTTAATGACCAGTTTTAGCACTGGTAGTTTTTAAAGTGAGTAAAGGTAAAACAAACATTATAAATTACTTTATTTTAATGAATCTAGTGACAAACTTCTTAGAACTCCATTGGTTTGATTGGGAGCAGTGTGGTCTGAAAGTTACGAACACCGGCTTTAAGGTAATGTATGTAGTTCCATTTACCGGAGAGGCTTTGATCAGCGGAGCAGCTGTGATGCGAGGACCTCCGCTGGTGGAACTGATCCCACTTTGGCGGCGGAGGTCTGGGAGGAGGCTTCTTCCGTCTCTCTGTGGTTTCTGTGAATGTGCTGTCGTGTTCTCGGACTCCGCTCAGGGTCTGGGTCCAGGGCCGGGTCCCAAAGCTGAGGTCCGACTCAGACATGGCCCTGGAGCGCAGAGGGGCAAAGACGGGAGCAGCGGGGCCGGACTCGTGTCTCCTGTGTGAGAAGTCTCTGCAGAAGATTTAGATTCAGATTCAGAAAACGTTATTGTTCCCAAAGGGCAAAGTAAAAGATCAAACAGATGTGAGCTCAGTGTGAGGGAGAAGTCTTCACCTCGTTCGTCAACTGGTTCCCAGGCTTAAAACGTCCTAATCTATGGAATCTCTTTACAAATATGTGCTTATAAAATTCAGGACAAGAAGCTTTGCCGATATGATTACTGCCCGCCTGTGTGTGTGTGTGTGTATGTGTGTGTGCGTATGTGTGTGCTAGGGTGGATTATTTCTGTAAAAGAAAAGTGCTCACTAACACACATTTAGACAGATTTCTTAACAATAATTGAGAGAAATGAGAAAACTTAGTTCAGTTCTGTAAGCTAGGCCCATCCCGTTCAGAACAGAACATCTTTGTCATAAAACGTTTGGTCGAAACCACTCACATACTTTCCACAGACATTTCTCCTGATGTGGAAGTGGTCAATCAGCTGTAAATACTTCCGGACCACATTCCTCTGTCACTGATCCGATTCTGAGGCTAAACACGGATCACTTTAGTAAAACGCTTTTGGATTATTACTGTTTGAAGCAGACGATGGAATACTGGGCTCAATTATGAACGGAACAAACTTGTGGTGTTTCCCACTCAGGACTGAGCTGTGGCTAAAGGACAGAAAAGAGAAAGGTTCTATAGTTGTAATGGGAGGAAATGTTTTGAAATTTCAAAACGGATTTCATAAAAGCAAGAAATCCACTGAGTACATGTTTCTCCCATTTATGGCTCAGACCTCTGTAATTACACTTATTTCAAATTTTCCTATAACTTGAGATACATTTTGCTCTGGGTTAGTCCAACTTCAGTCCATTTTCAGACAACTGTGCTGTTTATTCTGTTCTTTTTACATATATTGGTTCATATTAAATTTGTTTTAACATTTAGTCACATTTTTGGTTGTTAATTTGACCCGTTATAGTCACAACATGTCTGCTGAGGACAAAATGGCGGTCACAAAGAAGCAGGAAGTGGCTCACCTCTCCGTCAGGCTGAACTTCCTGCCGAGTTTGGAGGTTTCCTGTGTCCGGGCGGAAAACTTCTGCAAAACACATCATCAAAGTGTTAAAAGCACAAACGTGTGGACAAAGTGTTACCATGGAAACGGCCGCAAAACTCCACCAGAAATATACAGATACTTTACAAGATCACAGACCTGCAGCTGTGTTTATCTCTATCCATACCAGGACCGTCTGGAACAAGGCTGTGCATACAGTTATCTAATTTAAAGTGAAAAAAAAAACACCCCTGGCTAGAGTGCATTCTATAGAGATGGACTGATGTATTGGGCCAATGTTTCTCAAAGTTTTTGAATAGGTTTTGAATCTGCATTTGACTTACAGTAACAAAGAAGGAGAAGAATGTGGATGAATGAATTATAGTCTATTATCATAAGTCAGACTATAAGAAAATGAGCAAATAAGACACATACGTAGATCCCTGCGTCCTGTGAGGGCTCATTCTAAATAAAACTCCTGCAGCCTTCACCCGACAGACTGGCTTCGAGACCATGGGAGATGTTTTCTTAATCCAAAATTATTTAAAATATCAGGGAGATCTTTGGCACTGAGCTGATTTCCTGAAACATGCAAACGAGTCATAGATACTAAACCAAAACAGATTAAGAAGCTAAGATTGTGTCGGATTCTGATAAAAACACGATATTGAGCCAAGAAAAACTGAGACGGCGTCTTTAAATATATTTATGTAACAGATCTGCAGAAAACGTAGAGAAAATCCAGACGAAACACGACCACGACAGAGGTCAAACGTGTGGGAGTGAGTGAGTGTGGGAAGCAGAGAGACTGGAGGCCTTTCTGCTGACAACTCACGAGGCTACAGACCATTGTCCTGATCATTCTACCGACCACTCTACAGACAACTAAGACTAAGATTAACACTATTTAATAGATTTTAAAATGGGGTACTTTTAATTATGCTGCAAATAAGAAAAGAAAAGGTTCCAGTATTGACCCCTGAGGCACCCCAAAGTAAAAGCCAAATATGCTTTATAAGTAGTTTATTTCAAAAGTTGCCAGTACAACTCTATGGGAAAGTTGCATTCAAATAAAATTGACACATGTTTAAATGTTCCCCAGATCATGAATTGATAGTGATTAGATTCACAAAGCCGCCAAATAATTCTTATGTCACAATGTCTGCAGATGTGTTTGAGTATTGTTACCACTTCGAGACACCTTTATGAGAAAGTAAACTTCTGACACATACGATAGTTACCAGGAAACAAGTTTTAGCTGCCCGCCAACACAATGTGAAAGAAACTCTCGTCCTTGTGACTAATTATTAGTTAACAGAAAAGTATAAAATGGTCTCACCTCTTTAGGAGAGAGTTCATGCTGGTGCGATGAACCCTTCACTGGATAAAACGCAGACTGGGAAACGTTGCTGTTGAAACCATCCCTGCTGTAGTTTGGTCGAATTTCTCGTTGACTGGATGTGAAATACTCCTCTTGACTTTCTCTGTCTATCACTTCTGACCCTCTTCTGTCCATTTCTCGAATATCCATTTCGCAATCTTTTCCCCATTGGTGGATCCGCTCACTGTTCAGTTCTCTTGAAGCAAGTTTTTCCATTTCGCGCTGTCGCAAACTTTCCTTTGCATTCACCGATTGTCTTCTGGCCTCCAACAATCCGTCTTGTCTGTAACCTCCTTGATATGAATACCTTCTTTGAGATTGATAAGACCCGAAAGGCACTTTCGAACTACATGGCTTCGATTTCAGGTGATCTACCGGTTTTGTAACCCCCGTTTTACTCGTCTCCTCGAAGAACTTCATCCGATCCGCAAAGGGCAAAAGATCGGACTCTTCCATCCTCGAGCAGGACAGCGATCGCGGGTACGTTGAGGTTGACGTAAATGCGCAAACTCCGTGTCGGGAAGCCGCCGCACTTTCTTTTTGTCGTGGTTTTGGTTCATTTTCAAGCTGCAGTTTGTGTTCTGGAGTCCAACGCCATCTTCTTGCTTTACCAGCTGGAGCTGGTTCTTCAATCACTCGTATTCCAAAACTTGCAATATTTGGATCGACCTTTTGGAGCGACTTTGAGTGAGAAAAATCCCTATTCAAATCCTTGGAGCTTTCCATTGCTGTCCTATGATCTTCCATAGCAGTAGCTGTTGCCGGACACGCAACTTGAGACTTAATTTCCGGAAATTCCAAATCTCCCTCTTCATGAAAATCAGGGCCTTCCTCGTGCACAATCTCCCCACTACAAAGCAACCCGCCAGGGCCATGACTGCTCTGAAGCTGGGCCTTCTTTCTCTGGATCTCGTTCCGCAGATTAGTGGCAAAACGCTCGTTCCGTCTGCGGTTCTTCCTCAGATTTCTATTTGTTTTCTTCAAGGTAGCGCTCTGGTCTTCCGTCATTTTCTTTTCCACCAAGGCGTCAACGCTTTGGGCTGAGCTAAGCGGCTCAAAATTGCTCCCGTTAACTTGCTTCAAATTATTCTTACATACAGACAATGCGAGCGTATCTTCAGGTACGCTTACAGACCTTCCCCACTGGACTTGTTTCTCACAATTTACTGTCAAAACATTTCTAAATTCTTCCATTTCTGGCCCATCTTCTAAAAACACAGAGCCAGGAGTTGAACAACGGCTTCCGCTCCATACACTGGACGAAGTTTGCAGGTTAAGCAAAGCATCTTGGTCTTTTTCTAGTTGGGACCAGCTACTCGACGGTAAATCGGTAGCCTTTGGTTGGTTGAAAGCCTCCGTTGGCGCATTATCAAACTGTAATAATTGCATTTGCGTCGCTAGCAGCTTCTCTGGGGCGCTGTGTCTGTGCAAAACATTTGTAGAATTCCTACTTCGAGGCCTATAAAGGGATGAAGTTAAGGCTGATTTGCTTTGAGCGTAGTAAGACCCTACGCCATTGTGTTCGTCTTTCTCCACCACATGGAAGCTATTTTGAACAATTGCGCCATCTTCATAGCAGCGTTGCGCTGTGTTGAATTCGATTGGTGCAGAAGAGCAGCGATTGTTGGTCACTTTGGGCCTGCTTTTTGTTGCTCTGAAACTGTCCTTTCTTGTCGGAGGCTGCGGCGGGTTCATTTTCAAGTCACCGTTTTGTAGAAAATCGCAAACTTTCCGCTCATCCTCGTAACAGCACGACGACGGACGCTCTTTGATTTCCACCGGTTTCTGTCTCTGTCTCGTCAACGATCTGGACTTCATGGCGGCAACTTGTCCTTGATCCAAACCGTGGCCGACATCGCCGATATTCCGAAGCAGGTTTTCCATGGATTCGCGCGAGGTCACCGTTGCGTAGTCCGAAGTGTTGGAGCTGGCGGAGAAGGAGCTGTAGGCCGAGTCACGCTTGTTGTTGAAGAGGGCGGGGTCCACGGGCGAGTCGTACGATCGGATTGTGGGAGTGGGCGTGTCCAGGCTTTCCATGGAGCCCAGGGAACTGCTGCGGTCGGTGGAGGAGAAAGGGCGAGACAGCGGCCCCCACTGGAGAGCCAAGTCACTGCAAAGAGAGAAAACATTTATTTGACGTAACTAAAAATGCATATTTCAACTAAAAAAAACAATGAGAAATAAAAGAGCAAACAGGAAGGGGATATGACAAGGAGGAAAAATTAATTCTTTTAGAATAACTTAAAATATAAAACACAATTATATGATCAAAAATACATAAAATTGAAATAATTCTTCTATTTTCTTTCCTTTAGTATGATGTGTCTAGTTAAAACAGCTCTTCTATCTCAATTAGTTAGAATATATTTTTGTATATTCCAAAATCACAACAGCCTTCGTCTCGAAGGACCAACAACAGATCCGAGAATCGAACAGTACGAACACAGGAAATGCAATAATAACAAACACATAGAAGCCATTGGTCGTCTATGAATGAAATAAAAGTCTGAATCTGCTTTCACTCAGTCGTGTCAAGTTAAAACAGCGCTTCTTGCCATCACTTTTTAGCTTTTTTCCCACCAAATCTTTCTTTTAAGTCAAAATGTCAAACTTTAATGTCAAAACCACTTATAACTTTATAACTGCCTCATGTGGACAAAGAACACCACTGTTTATACTTTTAATGAGCTCAGAACAGCGACGTTATAACAAAAACACTATTCGCCAAACCGCATTCACTTGTAATTTGCAAATTTATTTCACGTCGTGGGGAAAACACCTGGTCGTATTTACTCAAAGGGAAACCACAAATGGAAATGGACGCTCGGAAAACAATAGTCTCTCTGCAGCTCGGTCCACAGCGAGGCTTTGTGATTTCATAAGCAGCAGGTTTGCAGACAGTCGTAATATTTCCTGAAGATTTTCATACTTCGTACACGGAGGAAAGGCTCAGAGGGACTCGCACTGATCCCACTGAGGCTCCTCTGTCCTGCGTCTGTTTGTCTTTTACAGACAAAACAACAAATGCAGAATATATGTGGTTTTTATATATTCCCCGTCAACCCAGGACAATACAATTAATAATAATGCATCCGTTTTATACAGCGCTTCTTTGGCCACTCAAAGACGCTTCACATGTCATTATTCTTTCACTCCATACACATTAGGGGTGGGCGATATGACCAAAAATTCATATTGCGGTATAATTTGGGACACAGACGGTATATATTGCGGTATAATTTGGTGTGTGAATTTCATTATAGGTCTAACAGGTTCTTGAATGAAATAGTCAAGATTGTTACTTATTTAAATGTATTGTGCAAAACTGCAATTATACAGAACATTATAAAACTTTGATTTCCAAGCAGTATTGCTGGGTTGGTTGCAACCACATGACCAAAAGGGGGCGGGGCAACCACGTGCAACCCAGCAATTTGATGACATAATGACTTATCTCAATATGTCGGTATAACAAAAATCTCTACCGTTAAACAAATTTCTATCGCATACCGCTTATACCGTTTATAACACCCAGCCCTAATACACAGCAGTAATAAGTTGCCAAACCTGCCCTGGGGCAAACTGTCAGACGCGAGGCCACCAGTCTGTGCCATCAGCCACTCCCACACCACCAACTATTCACACACACACCAGACTCATTCTAATGTGGGTGAAGTGTCTTGCCTAAGGACACAACCACAGTTTGACACTTTACAGCCGCAGCCGCCTCATTGTTGACCAGGGGTGTGATAAAAAAAAAATATTGTAAATAATTTCAAATATACACTGTGTAAGATTGTGAAAAAAACGACTGAAAATGAGCTTTAAACAGTTTGCTACAAAAACTTGAAAACCTGTTTTTATTAAGTTCAAACTACACCTATATTTGGTCTCAGTCGCAAGGCGGGTTGGAGGCCCAGTCACAGCAGGCTCTGTTGTTCTGTGGGAATTAAGCTTTAGATCGTGATTGGAGTTTATTATTACATCTCTGTAGAAAGTGAAATAATAGACACAGCGATATTAGAACAAACAGTAAGAAAAGCAAACACTTCCCCGACACACACACTTCTAATGTAGCCGTCGAACTGAACCGTGGAACTAAACCTCAGAACTCACATCAGCAGTTTCATGTCTCCGTCTGGATCTGATTTACTGCAACTTTTTTTCATGAGCAACTTTTAATAAAAATAGATTTGTGTATTTTGCAAACGCCACTCTTCAAAAGGAAAGAGGGAAGTTCCAGAGACTCAGAAGTGACCCGTCTCTGCGTCAGCCTGAGTCAGCCGCAAGGAGGATTTAAAGACGGGAAAAATGTGTTTGAAACTGACTGGACACAGAACTTGGAAGTCTGTGAGCGACTGTGGGCTGCGTCTGGGATGAGATTAAATCAATGAAAAAGTCAATTGTTTTCGAGTGGAGAGTTTCACGTGGGACGAAGATTGTGAACAAAAGGGGTTTCAACTCATTACGGCTGAACTCCCAGAGCCATCATTCTGACTGCTCCCGTCCAAATTAAGTTCTGAAAAGTGAGGCCATCAGTTTTATTCAAATTTACCTTCACTCACTTTTAATGATTGCTAAAACTGATGAATACAACTTGAAATACAGAAAAAAAACAGTTGTTGAAAGGCTAAGGCTAACGGGTAGCATGTTAACAGTATGTTGCTATGGTTACTAAAGCTTGCTCTTCTCTACTTCCCTACTCCATCTCAAAATTAAAAGCAGATTTTCATGAAAATAATGACAGAACTAAACTGTATGAAGAAACAGAAAAAGTGACAAAGATTTACATGAGCTGAGTAATTATGATTCAAAAACAAAAAGTGGTCAAGTTGACTGCTCTGGGAGTCACATATACATACAGTATACAGTCTTTTTCCAAGTACTCCATGTTTCAACAGATTTTCCACTTGAAGCTTGGAAACATAACTTTCAAACCACAAGGAAAACATACTGTATGAAATAGAATCCATGTCACTCGTTCCTGGCTCTAAAACAGTTTTGCTTCTATCTCTTGTTTTCACATATGCACATGTGTTCTGGGCCTCTGTCACAGCTTTAGATCGGCTTCTCAGCTCTTTAATAATGATAAAAATGCATTGGTTTTATGTCGTGCTTTTCTGGACTCTCAAAGACACGTCATCATTCTTCCATTCCATACAGCCACAGCTGCCCTGGGCCACACTGACAGAAGCAAGGCATCCAGTCTGTGCCATCAGCCCCTCCCACCACCACCAACCATTCACGCACACACCAGACTCATTCTAGTGTGGGGGAAGTGTCTTGCCTAAGGACACAACCAGAGTTTTGGCACTTTACTGGTGTTCCCAGAGGTCTCCCATCACTGTACTAACCAGGCCCTACCCTGCACAGCTTCAGAGGTCCGACTCAGTGGGGCCCTCTGGTCTCAGTGTGGTCCTCTGGTCTAAGTAGGGTCCTCTGGTCTAAGTAGGGTCCTCTGGTCTAAGTAGGGTCCTCTGGTCTCAGTAGGGTCCTCTGGTCTCAGTAGGGTCCTCTGGTCTCAGTAGGGTCCTCTGGTCTCAGTAGGGTCCTCTGGTCTCAGTGGGGTCCTCTGGTCTCAGTGGGGTCCTCTGGTCTCAGTGGGGTCCTCTGGTCTCAGTGGGGTCCTCTGGTCTCAGTGGGGTCCTCTGGTCTCAGTGGGGTCCTCTGGTCTCAGTGGGGTCCTCTGGTCTCAGTGGGGTCCTCTGGTCTCAGTGGGGTCTTCTGGTCTCAGTGGGGTCCTCTGGTCTCAGTAGGGTCCTCTGGTCTCTGGTCTCAGTGGGGTCCTCTGGTCTCAGTGGGGTCCTCTGGTCTCAGTGTGGTCCTCTGGTCTCAGTGTGGTCCTCTGGTCTCAGTGTGGTCCTCTGGTCTCAGTGTGGTCCTCTGGTCTCAGTAGGGTCCTTACCTGTTTAAAGATGGGTGTCGTAATTTTCTAGTTTAATAAATTACACAGAGGCCCCACCGACTATGCTCAAACTACAGATCAAGTTAGCAATCAGCGGATGTTTTTTACGAATATGTCCATGCAACACTGACGATCAAAAACACAAAGATTGAACAAACAAAAAAACATTTCCTGGGCTAGATTATACAATATTTAACACATGTGTCTTTATTATGCTAAAGCTACAGATTTTATGCTGCTTCTTTTTCATGTTAAAGTAGAGATTATTTTATTTTTGTACAGAGTCATTGTTCATTTATCTTGTGCTGTGTGCGCCTCATTCCTTCTGTGGGACCAAAGCATCTCTTCATCTTAATCCCAGTTTTAACAGATGATGTCACGTTCCACAACTTGGAGAGTAAATATGTGGTGTTTAAAGGAGGCAGATAAAGCTGGACTCTGGGGTCAGGGGGCGGGGCTTATCTCCAACACTGCTTCCTGTGTTGACTCTAGAGGCCATGAGGTCATCTCTGCGCTGGGGTGCCATGTCTGAGGCTGCTTTAGCTCTACTTTGGGCTGGGGAAAGCACATAGCCTGTACATAGATAGGGAATAGGGAAGTGCTCATGGTGAAGGTTTGCTCCAACTCGCTCTGGCTCCTGTCGGCAAGTTACATAAAAATACATAAGTAATACATTATGTATTACTTATTAGTTATTTCAAAATAATGTGTTACACTACAATATTACTGTTTATGAATTTTAATGCTTTACACTACTGCATTACTTTTAAGTTACTTTCTCAAAATATATAAAAAACAAACAATTTTTTTAAACATGCATTAGGATTTAAACATCTCAATTTCAATTAATATATGTTAATTTCAGTCTAATAATCTAAACGACTTGTTATTTACTTGTCACTATTGCTGATTCTGGTTAAACTTGGGGTAAACTGGTTAATCCTAGTTCAGTCCTGGTTCAGTCAGAAGTGCATAATTCGCGCCGCTCGTCGTGCACATATTTTCCGGCCGTTGAAAAGTGTCTCCTCCGTCTCTGACGTGACTCTGGAGAGGCTCATGTCTCTGTGGACTCTTTTAGAACGCTGTAAAGATCAAACCAGAGCTGATCTGTTCTTTACCAACACCAACCGCTGAGCGCAGGCAGAGTTAAAATGCTGTAACTCACGTCACTGGGCTTTGTATTCAGTAAATATTTTTGATTTGTAAACTGTAAAACACAGCTCCTATAACACTGTCCAGTCTATGGGAAAATGGCAACTTCTGAGCGCTGTTAAAGCTGGGGTACGTATCTTTCAAAACGGGGGTCACGTGTGTCTGGGGCCAGTTACAAACTCAAACTTAACTGTTTATTGTTTAAAAAGCAGGTTTTTTTCCAACTCAATCTACAGCTTTAAATTCTTCCACAATAGTTTTCCCACCTCTGTGTTCACCTGAATAGACCTGGGGACAAAACACGTCCTTGAGGGGCCATATTTGAAATCATTTTATCTAAAACAAGAGTGTACAAAGACATCTATGTTTTAATAATAGACATTTTCCAGATTTCTAAATATATTTCATTGTTTGATATTTCATATTTTATAATAGTCAGAGACCCACACTCTGCAAACAGACGCAGATGATGAACGTACATTTACATCAAACACATCCGTAAAAATAAAAAATCATGTATTTTTACTAGGGCTGTCAAAATTATCGCGTTAACTCACGTTAATTACATTTTTTATTAACGCGTTATTATTTTTTAAACGCATTAACGCATTTCCGAATGACCCGCCCATTTATCCATAAGAATATCACTCAGGCCGCTCTGGTTGTTGTTAGCGGCTGTGAGTGAGTGCAAGCTTTGCACGGGCTGCAAGCATGGATCTAGCTATTATAATAACAGCAGCAAGCGATTGCTCCGTTCACAAACTCAGCGCTCTGCGTACTGTAATTTCCCTGGTTCTTGTCTGTCAGGCGCGCTCTGCGCACTGTATTTTCCCTGGTTCTTGTCTGTCAGGCGCACTCTGCGTACTGTATTTTCCCTGGTTCTTGACTGTCAGGCGCGAGTGTTGCTCGTGTGTGTTTTTGGGAACTAATTATTTTAAAATAGTCTCTTTCAATTGCAAGTTTTGTAATGTGTTTGTTTGATCAATGGATAAAAATAAATGCAATTTAATTAAATGGCACCTTGGTCTGTCGTATACCTGTTTGCCTGCAGGACAGTTCCCTAAACTAACATATCATACTAAAATAGGGTGTGGTTGTTGCAACAATTAATCTACTTAGAAGTTATCCTAAATTACAGCCAGCTAAAGCTCGGTACCGCGCAATAGTTACTTTTACTGGTAACTAGTTACTTTTATTTGACGTCTCTGCTCTGTTTACCCTTTTTAAGCCTTTTAAACACGTTTTTACGGTGTATTAGTGTCTTTTGTACACTCTAGTGTTTTATTACCTTAAATGCAATGGTTCCAGAGCATCACGTCTTTTAACACAAAGACCCAATCGAAACGCGCTAGCTCGGAGGCTACCACGAGCGCACCACAGACATGGAAAGTGACACTGCAATGACCACGAACGACATTAGTCGCCTCACATTGGAGCTTCGTGAGAGGGACCGTGCCACTATTGCAGACCTCCGTAAAGAAGTCCTTCGCCTCACTGCAGAGCTGCAGGATAAACAGTCACTCGTGTCCAAACTTTTTGATGTCGCTGGCGGGCAGCACTCACGGCTTATGTCACTGAGCGCTGCATACTGTGACACTGTCGTGTGGGAGAGATCTGTCAGCTCTGGGCCCTCTTGTTCTACACCTAAGTGCCCGGTTCGGAATAAAGAGCCTGCGGACTGCGAGGAGCCATCCAGCGCCGTGGCCCATGTCCTGAGCCTGTCAAACCGCTATGCAGCCCTCTCCGCTGACATCCCAGCCCCCTCAGCAGAACCCCTGGACTCTGCAGCAAACTCTACTGCTGTCCGTGGATCCAGGTCCACTGCGAGAAAGACACTCCTAAAGGAAGCTGTCCTCAGACGAAAGAGTGATCATTCCCCTTCTCTGACCCCAGTGCATCACCACCACTTACCTTCACCGGGTCAGCAGCAGCGACCCGAGCCTGCTCCTCTCGCCGCTCCAGCGTCTCCGTGCACACAGCGTGGGTTGCCCGGAGCTGGGAATCAACACCCCCACTCCTCTCCATGTGTTCAGCAGCGCCCTGGTTCGGACCCATCCCTGGATGAGCCCGCTGGTTCTGGCCATGGACACCGAGCGCCCTCTCCGCGGCCGCGTCCACTCTTCGCCCCGACTACTCTGATTGTTGGAGATTCCATCGTGAGGCACGTCCGCTTTTTTAACGCGGTCACTCACTGCATTACCGGAGCTACTGTCCCAGATCTGCTCATCCGTCTCCCTCCTCTGCTTCACTCCCTGCCCGATACCATATCCAAGGTAATCGTGCATGTGGGTATAAATGATATGAAGCTGCAGCAGTCAGAGGTCACAAAGAAGCACTTTATGGATCTGTTCCGCCTCCTCCAGTCCTCCGGGTTATCCGTTTTTATTTCTGGTCCAGTCCCGACTGTAAACCGGGGTGACTGCCTCTACAGTCGCGTTGTGGCGCTCAACATGTGGCTCCAGTCTACATGCAGCACTTTTAACTTTATTTTTGTGAACAACTTTGGCCTGTTCTGGAAGCGTCACGTGGCCTATCGTCCAGATGGTCTGCACCCGAACAGATACGGCACCAGTTTGTTGACGGACTTCCTACGCCATGTTGTTCAGTGCTCCCCGAGGGGGGCGTGACTGTTTACATCTGAGGCTTCTCGGCCCCCACCCACCCCCCCTCCTCCTCCTCCCCCCCCCCCCCCCCTCCTCCTCCCTTACCAGCACCGGGTGAGTACTGTGGTGCAAACACTGACCCCTGTCCGTCTGGCAGTGTAACGACAGTCCTGCCACTGAACTGTGCTGACTCAGTTATGCATCTGGAACTTAACAAAGTACAACAGAGTTCACTTTTTAAACCAATAGAGACTGTGTGTGTTCCTCGCACCAGCTCAGAAATGTGTTTTAACTTGAATAAACACAAATTTAAAAGAAGGACAGCAGTTAGACGGTCCAACTCTGGAAATCTAATTCCAGTTCTTTGTAATCAATCAACTAAACCCACTGACACTGATATTAATTTTAACCTTGCTCTACTTAATGTCAGATCACTATGCAACAAATCATTTTTAATTAATAATTTTATCTGTTCGTATGATCTTGATTTTATGTTTATGACTGAAACATGGCTTGACCATAATACAGGAGATGCAGTTTTAATAGAAGCCTCACCACCAAATTTCAAATTTGAATATGAAACACGAGAAAATAAAAGGGGGGGGGGGCATAGCAGCAGTTTTTAAAGATCGTATTGTCTCCCATAGAGTGTCTCTTGGGAAATTTTCATCATTTGAGTATGTTTCTTTTAAAATAGAACAAAAGAAATCTTCTTCCATTCTTATTATTGTTGTGTACAAGCCGCCACAGTCATGCCATAGTTTCACTGATCATTTCACTGAGTTGCTTTCAGTTGTGTGCACAGTCTCTTTGCTGACTTTGCAGAAGCCAACAATGACAACGAGGACGTGAAGTTTATGGCAGTGGCTTTTAAAGATGAAACTCAGAAAGGATCAACAATCTACACATATGAAGATGGATTTGAAGCCAGTGATGATTTTGTGCCTCCTTCGAAGCCTGAAGTTAAAGTGGATGTTGTGACACATAACAGTGTGACTCTTTGTGTTAGCGCCCCCACATGGGGAGCCGAGGCAGTGACAGGCTACAGGCTGGAGTACAGAGAGAAGGAAGAGTCCAGTGCAAACGGAGAGTGGCAGCAGCAGTCAGTGGCAAACACCGGCTTAACCACAGTCACTGAACTGAACCCAGAAACAGAGTACACCTTCAGACTGAGGGCTCTCACTGAGATGGGACAGGGGCCCATGAACGTACTCACCAACAAAACTTGTCCTGCACCAGAGGGCCCCAGACGCCTCGCAGATGAGGTGAGGAAAACTTGTGAAGTCATAGAGACCAAAGGATCTCTGCAGATCCTGAAGGTTCCACTGCAGAAATATGAAATGAACATTCCTGGCTGTGCACGGTTCAACTTCGGCTCTGAGGTTCAAGGAAAGAAAACCTGCACCATAATGGTGATGGGAGCCACTGGAGCTGGTAAATCCACCCTCATCAACGGCATGATCAACTACATCCTGGGCGTGCAGTGGACGGACAAATACAGGTTCAAACTGGTGGTGGAAGAAGAAAAGTGTCAGAGTCAGACATCAGAGGTGACCGTTTACAGAATCAACTTTGACGAAGGCTTTATGATCGACTACTCTCTGAACATCATTGATACTCCAGGCTTTGGAGACACTCGCGGCATCAAAAGAGACCATGAAATCACTGAGCAGATCCGGAACCTCTTCTCCAACAGCTTTGGGGTGGATGCCCTTCACACAGTGTGCTTCGTCGCTCAGTCTGCTCTTGCTCGCCTCAGTGCCACACAGCGTTACGTGTTTGATTCTGTCCTCTCCATCTTTGGGAAGGACGTGGCTGAAAACCTCAGGGTTCTGGTGACTTTTGCAGATGGACAAATGCCTCCAGTTCTAGAGGCCATCACAGCTGCAGAACTCCCATTCCCCAAAGATGATGACGGAAAACCTGCTCACTATAAATTCAACAATTCAGTACTTTTTGCTGAAAACCAAAGTTCTGTGGTTGGCTTTGATGAGATGTTCTGGAACATGGGGAAAGCAAGCATGAAAAGCTTCTTTGATACCCTGAATAAGACTGAACCTAAGAGTTTGACTCTGACTAAAGAGGTTCTGAGAGAAAAAAAACAGCTTGAAGAGACTATGGAAGGTGTACAGAGGAAAATAAAAGAAGGGTTAGCACAGCTAGACGAGATTCTGCAAATCCAAGAACAAATCAAAAAGCATGAGGCTGAGATCGAGAGGAACAAAGATTTTGAGGTTACCATTAAAGTAATCAAGCCATTTCAGACGAGCATCGCAGGTACAAATAACTTCGTCACCAACTGCTCCAAATGTCACCAGACCTGTCATTACCCTTGTTCAAGGGGAAATGATTCAGATAAAAAAGGCTGTTGGGCAATGAACCCACATGGAAACTGCACACAGTGTCCTGGTAAATGCATCTGGAGTGATCATTACAACCAGAAGTACAAATGGGAGTACAAAGAAGTCACTGAGACAACAACTGCAGAGGAGTTAAAGAAAAGATTTCTAAAAGGGACAAAGGGGAAAGAAACTACTGAGAGTATGTTCACATTCCTGAAGAAGAAATATCAACTGTTTCAGCACGACGTGAGTGAAGTGGTTCAAGCCACCAATGCAGCCATAAACCGTTTGGGAGAGATCGCTCTGAGGCCCAACCCTCTGTCTGCTCCAGACTACATTGACCTGATGATAGAGTCAGAGAAGAATCAGAAAAGTCCTGGGTGGAAGCAGAGAGTGAAGGGTCTGGAGGAGCTGAAGCAGAAGGCAGAAATCCTCAAAAAAGTCGGCGACGGAAAACAATTCTGACTAACATTAATGTAAGTGTGAGATTTGTTTGTTTCACATGAGGTAGAAGAGAACACAACGGAATGTACAGGATATGTCTTAGTCTTACGCTGTGTTCACACTGGTGTTAAAAATACAAACAGATCCTCAAATAAGACACCTGTACAATTGAAAACAGACACTTTTAAGAATCAAGTTTTGATAAAGTTCAGCACAGATTGAAACAATGCTGTGAACATAGCCTTACTTTAATTCACCACTTAAACAGTTGTGGTTTCAATTCAACATTATTCAAATGTGCGTTTGTTGCATGTTTTTCTAATTATTGTGTTTTCCTTTTTCAGTCCGTACAACAGGAACCAGACGAACAAGAGAAACTAGGGAAACCAGAGGCACAAGGGAAACCAGGGGAGCAAGGGGAACCAGAGGAACAAGAGGAACCAGAGGAACCAGAGGAACCAGGGAAATGTAAAACCAACTAACTGTTCTGGAAAGTTTTTATTTTTTTCAAATGTTTTTAAAACTGTGGATTTGTTCAATATATATATCTATATATATATATATCTCAAGCATGTGGGTTTTTTTGGAACTGAATGACTATATGGCACCATAGACCTTATATTAGGAGTGGACTGACTGAGTACTGACGTCATCTGTTACTGTTTGCCAAATGCAAAAGAAGCCAATTTGAACATGTGCCAGCTGGAGCCGACCTTATATGGGCATTATTTCCAACTGTGTTGGCTTTGCGCCGTAACCCTAACACTGTTAGTAATGGTTATTAAAGCATGCTTGAGTTTCCCATGTGAAGCAAGGCATCTGATTTGTCAATCCTTATGGCTCATTTCTGGATTTACAAAGTCATTATCAAAGTAAAAACACCAAGATCATAGAGAGCTTAAAACCACAGATTCAAGCCCAAAATAGAGAGTGTGACACAAATGGTTACTGAGCTCGAGGAGTTTACGTTTCAATGCGAGTCAGTAGGAGCCAGAGCTAAACTTCACTGTGAGCACTTCTCTATTGGGCTTCATTGAGCTAGCGGGTTAGCATTGTCCATCTATAAACAGTCTATGCATAGTACTAAGTTACATCAATCAATGTATTGTTTTATTACATCTCTTTAAACTGAAAGTGTTTATTTGGTTTTCATCGTGTGATTTTTGGAGGGTATAACAGTAAATCAAAGAGTTTATATTTTTACAATGATCTAAGAAAACACACCACTGTTTGTGGCTTAATAATGTTTAAAAAGGATATAAAAAGTGTGTTAATGTCTGTGAGAAACTCGAGTACACGAGCAAAAGCTAAGAACAGAAACTTCACTCAAACAAAGAGCGTCTAAAGTATATTTTCCTCTTTTCAACTGCCCAAGATCAAACAGACTGTTGTATCCTCCATCCATCCATTTTCTTCCCTTTAATCCATTTCTGGGTCAGGGGGGTGGCAGTCAGAGCTACACCCAAGTCTCATAGCACCAGCCCCTCACTGACCCTCTGCAGGTGGTGAGTCCACAGGAGGACGGCTGCTCTCTGAGTGTGAGCATAGCCTTGATCTTTCAGTGGGGGCTTTGGGCAAAGTGGGGTTAAGTGTCTTGCCCAAGGACACAACGACAGCAGTCATCAGTGGGAGTCGGTGGAGAAGGTGCAGAGGTGGGAATTGAACCCACGACCTTCTGGCCTTAAGGCCAATGCTCTACCAACTGAGCTACTGTCGCCCTGTTGTATCCTGATTATTGTTATTGTTTGTGGACGATTAACTTTTAATAATTAATAATAATAATAATTTAATAATTTAAAAATATACTTTGTGTGTTTGTTTTTGATAAAGAATATGTGACATCACCTGAATATGTTTTATGAATAATAATTTTAAATGTGGTGAAAGGATTCTAAATGCAAATCATTTACAAATAAAGTTTATTAAAGACAAAATCAGAAAGTTTTATTCTGTGTTTGACTTTTGTTCAGGGTTTTCTTGAGAATATTGACTTTTCATGTTTTAGAAAGTGGAATATTTAAAGTTACCACAGTCAGAGATAAGTTTATCTAATTTTATCTTCCAGTGTAATGTACCGTTGATTAATGCTGTTTGAACCTGTTATGTAAAATTAAGGTACAAAAACAAACAACAAAATCTGCAAAATAAACTCTAACCACCAAAGAAACACGTGAGCGTCAAATATGTCCATTTTAAAAACATGAAATTGACACACAATGGAAAAACCCTAAAAGATGAATAAGTTATTTGTTATAAGTATATTGTCATTTAGAGTTGTTTGAGGACGAGGGCTTTGCTCTGGTTCAGCCCTGGAGGTGGGTCTAGTGGTGGGTCTGGAGGTTGCTCTGGAGGTGGGTCTAGTGGTGGGTCTGGATTCGGTCTGGAGGTGGGTCTAGTGGTGGGTCTGGATTCGGTCTGGAGGTGGGTCTAGAGGTGGGTCTGGAGGTTGCTCTGGAGGTGGGTCTAAAGGTGGGTCTAGAGGTGGGTCTGGATTCGATCTGGAGGTGGGACTTGATTCTCGCTGTTGTTTCTCGTCTAATTTAAGGCATGCAGTCGTGAGTCATCTTTATCCATGGCATTGTTAATCATAATGTAACAAGTTAAAAAAAACAGCGTTTAGACAGAAGGGGCTGGGGACCTGACCCAGACCAAGTCCTGACCCAGACCAAGGCCGTGCATTCCATCTCTCTCTGTGGGTCTGCTTTTCTGTCATTTGTTGAAAACTCAAGGGAGATATTTGAAAGATGTCAGTTGTAAAACATATCTGTCAGTAACGTTGATAATCATAGTGTAACGAGTTAAACAAAGTGAGCGTTTGGACAGAAGGGTTGGTTCTGACAATAGGATTATCATCATTTGGACAATGCTCTATCAGCTGTGGTTTATGTTTATGTGAACAGCAGAGAGCCAATGGAAAACCCGGGAAATACACAGGACTCATGATAATGTGATTAGGACTGTTGACGAAGCAGAATTTAAGGAGCTGGTATTTTAAATCTATCCAGGTTTAGTAGTTATAAGTTATTTATCGTCAAAACAAATGGGTAAATGAGACCCAACATGGAGGCTAACGGTTAATGCCTGTCTCCTCAGAGCTCCCGTAACAAATCAAAAGTTATTATATTATTCAAAACATGTTGCGTCCAGTTATAAGTCGTCTATGGAGTTTGTTTTTCTATTTGCTGTTAAGAACTAAAGACCTATGAAACATGAATCACTTTTATCGTTGTGTGGTCGATATATGGACAGAAAGTGAGTCCAGAGGAGCCAGAGTGAGATGGAGCTAAACTTCACAGCTGAGCACTTCCCCATCGGCCTTCATGGATTCTGGATGAGGCTGGGCTGCTGACCAAGAGTTATATTTATTAGATGTTTGTGTTTGTGCAAAAATGATTGACACAGGAGCAAACGGATCATGACGCACAAGCAGAAAACTTGTGCGTCATGATCTGAAATATTTCAGATACAAACTGTTCAGTTTGTATCTGAAATATTTTAAGATTCAAACTGTCCAATCTTCTCATTCATTAATTAAAACAGTTTATTAATAAAGAATGAGGTCTCTGTCTCTGATCTCTTTTCTCTCTTTCTGGTCTTTCATCTCTCTATTTTTGCCTTCTCTCTCTCTGGTCTCTCTCTCTTTTCTTTCTTTCTGGTCTCTCTGATTTCTCTCTCTTTGCTCTTTCTCAGTCTCTCTCTGGTCTCTCTATATCTGGTCTCTCCCTCTTTGCTCTCCTTTTGGTCTCTCTCTCTGGTCTCCCTTTCTGTCTCTGGTCTATCTGGCTTTTCTCTGTCTATCAGTTTTCTCTCTTACTGATCTCTCACTGTCTCTGGTCTCTACTCTTTCTGTTCTCTCTCTTTTCTCTCTTTCTGTTCTCTCTCTTTTCTCTCTTTCTGTTCTCCCTCTTTTCTCTCTTTCTGGTCTCTGGTTTCTATAGTTCCCACAGAAAGCCGCGAGAACTGTAGGTGCAGTTACGGGGATCTCCAGAAGGTGGCGCCACCTCCTTATATCTTTCGGCCATAACTGCGCTCATAAACTATTTTTCAGTTATAACAGTATAATAGTTTGCACAACTTTAAAGCTTGGCTACGTAACTTTTAGACCACAACAATGGATCTCTGCAAAAAAGAAAAAGAAAACATTGAACAAGTGCACATTCAACATTACAAAAATTGTGTACAAATTTAAAATTAGATTAGGAATTTAGACTATTGTAGATCATCAGTGAAGATCTCAGCTCTCAGCCCAAAATGTCAAATAGAGACTATCTGGGCTCTTTCTGACAAAAATATTACGTGTTTTTAATGAGATGAAGACCGATTGAATCACACCATTTTACTTTGACAAGACTCTTTCTGTCGGAATAATAAAAAAAATAAAAAATAAAGTTAGGTACCCCAGCTTTAAATGCTGTATTGTCTCTCGTGTGTGACGTAGATGACTAAGCCCCGCCTTGTCAGAATTCCTCCAGTTTTTCAAAAGTCTCCAAAGTCTCGCTCCTCCTCCTCCTCCTCTCGTCCTGGTCCAGTCCTGGTCCACAGTCCAGTCCCGGTCCAGTCCTGCAGGATCTGAGCTCTTCACGCCTGGAGATGGAGCCTGAAGTCCCGCTAAAACTCCCCCTGATGCCGTGCTGAAGGACCCCCAGAAGCAGCCTCTACGGGCGGCGAGAGGACCCCCAGAAGCAGCCCCGGACAGCGGCATGGAGCGGGCCACTTATGCCCACGCACAGGTCCATCTGAGCGGGGGAGCGCCCTGGGGATTCACGCTGAAGGGAGGACTGGAGCACGGAGAGCCGCTGGCCATCACCAAAGTAAGAGGAAACTGGAGAATATACTCAGAAACTAAACATATAAAGGGCTTTACTTTGGGACACATGGAGAAATGTTCTGTATAGACGCTAACCCTGTCAGAAAAGCAACGAGAAGTGTGATTATGCATGTTATTTATTAAGAGGAAAGATGTGATACCAGAGAGAGATCAGAGAGAGACCAGAGAGAGACCAGAGAGAGAGACCAGAGAGAGACCAGAGAGAGAGACCAGAGAGAGACCAGAGAGAGAGACCAGAGAGAGACCAGAGAGAGAACAGAGAGAGACCAGAGAGAGAGACCAGAGAGAGACCAGAGAGAGACCAGAGAGAGAGACCAGAGAGAGAGAGCAGAGAGAGACCAGAGAGAGATCAGAGAGAGACCAGAGAGAGATCAGAGAGAGACCAGAGAGAGACCAGAGAGAGACCAGAGAGAGACCAGAGAGAGATCAGAGAGAGACCAGAGAGAGACCAGAGAGAGACCAGAGAGAGAGACCAGAGAGAGACCAGAGAGAGAGACCAGAGAGAGACCAGAGAGAGACCAGAGAGAGACCAGAGAGAGAGACCAGAGAGAGAGACCAGAGAGAGAGACCAGAGAGAGACACCAGAGAGAGACACCAGAGAGAGACCAGAGAGAGACCAGAGAGAGACCAGAGAGAGAGACCAGAGAGAGACCAGAGAGAGACCAGAGAGAGACCAGACCAGAGAGAGAGACCAGAGAGAGAGACCAGAGAGAGAGAGAGAGAGAGAGAGAGAGAGAGAGAGACCAGAGAGAGATCAGAGAGAGAGACCAGAGAGAGACCAGAGAGAGACCAGAGAGAGACCAGAGAGAGACACCAGAGAGAGACACCAGAGAGAGACCAGAGAGAGACCAGAGAGAGACCAGAGAGAGAGACCAGAGAGAGACCAGAGAGAGACCAGAGAGAGACCAGAGAGAGAGACCAGAGAGAGAGACCAGAGAGAGACCAGAGAGAGACCAGAGAGAGACCAGAGAGAGACCAGAGAGAGACCAGAGAGAGACACCAGAGAGAGACACCAGAGAGAGACCAGAGAGAGACCAGAGAGAGACCAGAGAGAGACCAGAGAGAGACCAGAGAGAGACCAGAGAGAGAGACCAGAGAGAGACCAGAGAGAGACCAGAGAGAGAGACCAGAGAGAGAGATCAGAGAGAGACTAGAGAGAGACCAGAGAGAGACCAGAGAGAGACCAGAGAGAGACCAGAGAGAGACCAGAGAGAGACCAGAGAGAGAGACCAGAGAGAGACCAGAGAGAGACCAGAGAGAGACCAGAGAGAGAGACCAGAGAGAGAGACCAGAGAGAGAGACCAGAGAGAGACACCAGAGAGAGACACCAGAGAGATACACCAGAGAGAGACCAGAGAGAGACCAGAGAGAGACCAGAGAGAGACCAGAGAGAGACCAGAGAGAGAGACCAGAGAGAGAGACCAGAGAGAGACCAGAGAGAGACCAGAGAGAGACCAGAGAGAGACCAGAGAGAGAGCAGAGAGAGATCAGAGAGAGAGCAGAGAGAGAGACCAGAGAGACACCAGAGAGAGACCAGTAAGACAGACCAGTAAGAGGGAGAGACCAGTAGGAGAGAAAGAGGGACACCAAAGAGAGGGACCAGAGACAGACAGGGACCGAGAGACAGACAGTTACCGGAGGACAGACAGGGACCAGAGACAGACAGGGACCAGAGACAGACAGGGACCAGAGACGGACAGGGACCAGAGACGGACAGGGACCAGAGACGGACAGGGACCAGAGACGGACAGGGACCAGACAGGGACCAGAGACAGACAGTTACCAGAGACAGACAGGGACCAGAGACAGACAGGGACCAGAGACAGACAGGGACCAGAGACGGACAGGGACCAGAGACGGACAGGGACCAGACAGTTACCAGAGACAGACAGGGACCAGAGACAGACAGGGACCAGAGACGGACAGGGACCAGAGACGGACAGGGACCAGACAGTTACCAGAGACAGACAGGGACCAGAGACAGACAGTTACCAGAGACCAGAGACAGACAGTTACCAGAGACAGACAGTTACCAGAGACAGACAGGGACCAGAGAGAGTAATTGTGCAGGATAACATGGGTTTACGATGGGAGAGATAATACAGTCGCTAACTATCACCAAAGAAACTATGGTTTTTGCAGTGAAAAATACATAAATCATAAAAGTTATTATATGGAGGTATTTGGGAGGATTTTCCCCAGGGAGAGAGACCAGAGAGAGACCAGAGAGAGACCAGAGAGAGACCTCTGGTCTCATCTATGATGTCTGCTTGTTGTGACTCTATGACGTCTGCTTGTTGTGACTCTATGATGTCTGTTGTGACTCTATGATGTCTGTTGTGACTCTATGACATCTGTTGTGACTCTATGATGTCTGCTTGTTGTGACTCTATGATGTCTGTTGTGACTCTATGACGTCTGCTTGTTGTGACTCTATGATGTCTGTTGTGACTCTATGACGTCTATTGTGACTCTATGATGTCTATTGTGACTCTATGATGTCTGCTTGTTGTGACTCTATGATGTCTGTTGTGACTCTATGATGTCTGCTTGTTGTGACTCTATGATGTCTGTTGTGACTCTATGATGTCTGTTGTGACTCTATGATGTCTGTTGTGACTCTATGATGTCTGCTTGTTGTGACTCTATCATGTCTGTTGTGACTCTATCATGTCTGTTGTGACTCTATGATGTCTGTTGTGACTCTATGATGTCTGCTTGCTGTGACTCTATGACATCTGTTGTGACTCTAGATAGATAGATAGATACTTTATTGATCCCCGTAGGAGAAATTCAGGTGTCCAGTAGCAGCAAAAATAAGAATAAAATTGATCATTCTAAAAATATAATAATAATAATAATCAGCAACAGCCCTTCAGGTCACAGGAGCAGAGGTGGTGTAGCCTCTGGGTGGAGCAGGACGGGTCACAGCAGCAGAGGTGGAGTAGTCTCTGGGTGGAGCAGGACGGGTCACAGCAGCAGAGGTGGAGTAGCCTCTGGGTGGAGCAGGACAGGTCACAGCAGCAGAGGTGGAGTAGCCTCTGGGTGGAGCAGGACGGGTCACTGCAGCAGAGGTGGAGTAGCCTCTGGGTGGAGCAGGACGGGTCACAGCAGCAGAGGTGGAGTCAAAAGGTGGAGTACCCACTTGGTTCGGACCATTTTCTCTGCTCTGGTCCAAAAGTAAAATGCTAAATCCTTCATTAGCATTTTTCAAAAAGTCACCAAACAAATATTAGTCAGCCCTTTATATTCAAAGCTGTAATGAGCATTATCTTTTTTAAATAATATATTTAAAATAGTTAGTTCCCAAAGGTTTCACCCTGACGTGGCCAGACCATAGACTGTAGGCTAGCCGGGTAACAGCTAGGCTAGCTTACTAACTTGAACTCCCTGGAACTAGATGAAAACTGAACAAAGAATTCTGAACATCAGCAGTGAGTGACTCAAATACTGTTTCAATTCAACCTAAATCCATGATCAGATCCTCTACAAATGTGTCCTAAAATGTTCTACTCATGTTAATGGTTACTAAGGGGTTCACCCCGATCACTTTTTGACTCATTAAAAAAGTATTTTTGTCATGAAAACGTTACCAGATAATTCTGAAAATCTCCGTGCACGTATGTTAAGAATGTAAATGTATAATGTATTCTCCGATTAACATTTAAATGTGTTGATTGATTGATATTTGTGTTAGTGAGCGTGGCTAGCTTCGATAGCTTCTCTTGCTCAGACAGAAGTAATAAGTGACAGACGCTGAAAGCTCGTTGTGACGAAGTGTACGAACTACTGTCAGAGTAATCTTAGTATTTTACACCGGCTTGAAACTTCTCCAACAGTATCTCGGACCTGCCTGGTGTGTTCCTTTGTCTTCATGGTTCTCTCTGCGCTTTAAACAGAACCCTGAGACTATCAAAGAGCAGGTGCATTTATACGGAGACTTGATTACACACAGGTGCATTCTATTTATCATCATCAGTCATTTAGGACAACATTGGATCATTCAAAGATCCTCACTGAACTTCTGGAGTGAGTTTGCTGCACTGAAAGTAAAGGGGCCGAATAATATTGCACGCCCCACTTTTCAGTTTTTTATTTGTTAAAAAAGTTTAAATTAGGCCTGTCACGATAACAAATTTTGCTGGACGATTAATTGTCTCAGAAATTATTGCGATAAGCGATTATATTGTCGTTCTGAGATCATTTGCATCGATTACAATGATAATGCAGGTACACCTTTTCAAAGAGAAATAAACGTTTATTTTTAACGAATATTTAACGCTAGAACACAATAAATTAACAAACAACCAAAAACAATAAATAAAATAGACTCAGTCTCTTAACAAAAAATGACCAGGAATAAAACTGCTAGGACCTTTGTAAAGAAAATATGAAACAGATGCCTCAAATGTCAATAATTTCTCAGACTTTATGGCAGATTACGAGAAAGAAATACCAACATGTTGACTTTGTGTGGCTTAAGGCAGGATCTCTCAGGAGTAGTCCCACCTCCCCACACACCAGGCGAATGACAAGTGACTGACATGTGGGTTCACCAATGGGGCGTACAGAAGTCCTGCTGCGGTAGCGCCCACCGGAAGTAGCGGGGCGGGCTTTGATGCTAACAGCTAAGCTAGCGGGTTTTTTGTGTAAAGTTCTACTCCAAGAATGCAAGTCTGCAGCATCTCTGTGTTCAGAGACCTTCTAGAGACTTTATATAACAGCAGTATGTGTTCACGGAGGTGCGCCATAAGTTTATTTTATTGGTATGGTACAGTACTTCTGCATCGGCGAACACGCTAACGCTAGCTGCGCTAGTATAGTCACTAATCAAGCCTGAATGAGAACTCAGCTGCCGGCATATGTTCACAACTACTGTGTCCCCCATTGTCAATCCTGGTTAAGTCCTGGTTTAGGTCCTGTTTTGGCTGTATTTGGTATTTTTGAGTAATTTCCGTCTGCTTGCTAGACCGCTAATGTTCC